CTTGTACCCAATATTCAGGGTCAAGACCTTTAAGCAGTGGTTCTCAACCTGTGAGTCACAACTGCTTTGGTGGTCCAACAACCTTTTCACGTGAGTCACCTAAGACCAACGCAAAACACAGATATTGACATTACGATTCATAACAGTAGCAAAATTACAGTTATGAGGTAGCTATGAAAATAATTTTATGGTCTGGATTTACCACAACCTGAAGAACTATATTAAAGGTTCACAGTATTAGGAAGTCTGAGAACTCCTGCTTAAAAGAAATAAATGAGGTTAAATGAGGTTTTAAGGTTGATGATCTTATAAGAAGACATACAGGGGCAGAGAGGAAGACAATGAGAGGCAGCAAAAGAGAAGGAAACCCGCTAACAAGTTAAGTGTAAACTGGCAGCTCTCTCAGCTGTAAGTGAAAAAAAAAAAGTCTGTTCTTGAAGCCTCAACAGTGATACCTTATATGGCAGCCAGATCCGACCCATACAAAAGTAGCTAATGAACATCCAAAGACAGTTCCCATGGATGTTTAATCTTCTATTGTTAAGAATGTATTTACTTTTACTACTCCAATAATATAATTTTACTAAAATGAGGACAAATTAATCTAAATTTTGTTAAGAAAATGAAAACAGCAAACAACATATGTTAGTTCTATAGATAATATAAAGACATTTTTCTATGGAGTCTTTCCATGTTAGTAACTTCTAGTTATTTTTTTGCATGTGTGTGTGATTTAAGGACAGAGCATGGAATCCAATAGAAATGTGGGCACTATACACAAAAAGTGATCCCAAAGCAAGGTATCTTTTACCTTGGCAAGTAAGGCTGCTCTTGTTGACAAGTGAGGGGCCGAATTCTACCTTGTTGTTTGACACCAAAACAATGAGGTTGTAGGTTCATCTTCTCACCTCAGGTTTTCCTTTCTACAGTCACACCACTGTCATCCACTGCCCCTGGCAAGGCAGCTCCTTGGGGAGTCAGATCGAGTGTAAAGGTGGCTTCTTTGTGTATACTGCAAGCAAAAAGACTGAAACAAGATCAAGGAGGCACAGAACTTGTCCATAGTAGGGACAATGGGTTCCTAGTAGGTACAGGCACAGACATTGCCTTGCTCTTTAGCCTTCAGAAACCCTGAAAACCAGGGATTTCTGGTAGTTCACAGGCTGCTTATCCCATGTGAGCTTTAGGCTAACAATGGTCAGTCTCTCTTATTCATATACTGGTTCAAATCAGGAATATATAGCGTTTTAGTATGAGGACTATCCGAGTATTAGCAGCTCTGGTTATGTGTTTACTTTTTACCAACTTAACATCTGATCTTTGGCAAGTTTCTGGACTGTTAAGAACCTCCATCATCTCATCCAGGTACCTAAGGGGCTACTTGATCACCAGTGTACCATTCAGTGGGAATCATTTCCTGTGTTATTTACTACAATATTGATAAGCCACCTGTGACTGTTCAAATACAAATGAATAAAATAAAATTTGAGTTGTAATTCCTCATCCTCCTTTGAAAAATTGTAAATCTAGTACTGTTGGCAACAGAGGTGGAGTGCCTCATCATTGCAGAAAGGTATACAACATGAGGCTCAGGTTCATGTTTCCTGCATAAGTCCACATGGAGAGAGAGCTTCATAGCTAGTTTCGTCAGAAATCTCTGAAGCAGCATTTCTCAACCTGTAGGTCACCACCTCTTTGGGGGTCATATACAAGATGTCCTGTATATCAGATATTTTTATTACAATTCATAACGGTAGCAAAAATTACAGTTAAAGAATAACAATGAATTTTATGGCTGGGCATCACCACAACAAGAGGGACTATATCAAATGGCTGTAGCATTAGGAAGGTTGAGAACCACTGCCTTGGAGGAACAGAATTGAAGAACTGATAGAAGATAGATAGATGGATAGATAGATAGATAGATAGATAGATAGATAGATAGATAGACGGACAGAAGGACAAACAGACAGACAGACAGACAGACAGACAGACAGACAGACAGACAGACAGACAGATAGAGGATTATTTATTAGAGTGACTTACAGGCTGTGTTCAGCTAAGCTAATAATTGTCATTTACCAAAAGAAGGTCTAAGAATCTAGTAGTTGTTCAGTCCACATGACTCGATGTCTCAGACAATCTTCATTTTTTTTTATGCCAAAATCCCAAAGAAGTAGACTCTAATGCTAGTGAAGGAATAGACGTGCCAGTAAGATGGAGAGAAAGCAGAAAAAAATGCCCTTTAAATAGGCTGCCACCAGGTGTGGCCCAGATTAAAAGGTGGATCTTCCAACCTCAAAACATCTGGATTAAAAGTGGGTCTCCCAGCTCCAATGATTTAATTAAGAAAAAAAATCCCTAACAGGTGTCCCCATATGTTTAAGTTTTAGTTAATTCCAGATATAGTCAAGTTGACAGGGAAGAATAGCCATCACAATAGCCAAGGACTTTATTTCATAATATACTTCAAAAGATCATTACATATAACCACTCCAAATATTAAAAGGGGTATACTAATGTTTTGTGGGGTTTCTTGCTAATCAGATGAGAAAAAAACCAGGGCTCTCTCTAGCAAGTAGCCATAAGTGACAGGAGCAAACATGTGTGGCCTGACCACGGCCATCCAACTCCAGGTGGTAAGACCCAGTGTTTAAGAGCTGATCTAGGGACCCCGTGCCTCAGTGCTAGACACACACTTAACGGTATGACCATAAAAGAGTATCTGATATCTCTGGCCTCTTCTTTCCTTTTGTGCCAAATGAGGGATGGCAAAAACTTTCATCCTTTATGAGTCCTGCCCAAGCTGATGCAAAGAAAGTGAAGAATTGCTGACTAAAAGTTAACCACTCTGATTATCACTTTGTATTCCAGCCCAGGTCTTTGAATTTCCTCTCTGCAAATGACCCCATTGACAGCCTTGGAAGGGCTCCCCACAGTCTTTCTAAGATGCCATGTCACTCTCACACATGGGCAGCAACTCCCTTTTGGAAGCCCATGGCGCCATTTGTCCTTAAACTCTCCCAGGATCATGAGCTCTCTGGATTAATTATGAGTGGTACAGGAAGCACTCTCTGAGGACCATACTAACTGCCTGGGCACTGTGCCAGGAGCAAATGGTTTTTCCTCCCTGTAATTTTTCCATACTCTTTTGGTGCTGGGAACCCACTGCTCCTGTACCCAGGAAGGGCTGGCTCAGGTACCAACAGTGCACGGGAGGAGAGGTATTGGGTGGTAGGACTCCTGGCCTCTGAGCAGGTCAGGGTGTTCTGACTGCAAAGCTGGCCCTGCCAGGCTGCATCTGTCTGGCTTTTCTCATCTCTCTAGTCTGACATGCCTAAAAGAACAGTAGGTACACTGATGGAGCCACAGAGCTTAAGGCTTAGACTCCACTAGGACTAGGCTCACAACAGAGCTGCAGGAGCCACTATTTCACAATGGGGCAGAAATAGGGGCAGCACTGAGTCACCTTCTTCCCCAGATACATGGAAGCAAGAGAGGGTCTAGACAGTCCTTTTTCACTTCTCCAGGTACATGGGATTTCAGTGAAACCAACAGGCTCTAGTAAGGCAGCAAAATGAAACATTTTAGCTCCTGAGTACAGTCATTGAACAAGCATGTGAGGGGCTGAGTGAATCATTGGAAGGCCTATTCTACAAATTCTGTCTGATGGCTTCTTTAAAATATGACCAGAGACACATGGTATCCACAAGGAAGGGGTACTCAGCCATTCAGGCCTTCTTCCTTCCTTCCTTCTTTCCTCCTTCCTTCCTTCCTTCCTTCCTTCCTTCCTTCCTTCTTTCCTTCCTTCTTTCCTCCT